TAGAGGCGGACAGATGGACAAAGTGGGAGGGGTGTGCATCTCTGGATCCTCGGCCAGGTGTACGTGGGTCTTATCCTGCCGTCGCTGCTGAAGTGGCTGGCCGAGGCAGCTGCTCTCCAGCACAGCAAGGACACTGGTGATGGCCCCAGCGTGATGCTCCTTCCCTCCTTTCTGCCTCCCCCCTTCTTCTTCCTCAGATTCGCATGCTCCAGCAACCCTTCCCCCCTTCCTCTTCCTCTTCCTATCATCCTCTTCCTTTTCCTCAGATGTCCTGTGGCCCAAATCGCCCTCTTGCTCCCAGAGGGACCCCGTCGAGTTGTAGCCTGCCGATCCTGGGGTGCCCTTTTCGCTGCGTTTTCCTGGCGCTCCGGGGCGCTCCCGCCGTGCGCTCCGGCAGGACCTGTGGGGAGAGGGAGAAGGTCAGCGTGCGGCACTCCCTTAAATTCTTAATCTTAAAACTACTGAGCCCTAAACACCGTAAAACCGGGTACATACGGTAACATACGGGCACATACGACCCGGGATGTAGACCGGCGCCATCCTTTTCAAACAAACAATTTCTTGATCATGCGTGCGTAATCCATCGCGATTTACAGTACAAATGCGCGTCCGCGGACGTGAACCCTCGCCATCTCTTGCAACATATACTATTTCCTGATCATGTTTGCATAGTCCATTGCGATTCACAATGCAAATTCGCGTCCGCGGACGTAAACTCTCGCCATCCTTTGCAAACGTAGTATTTTCTGAGTATGCGTTCATACACTTATGAGAGTTTCCTTACCAAGTGCGCCGTTGTCGCAGAGTCCTGTGTTTTACAATATGACTTCCATAATGTTTCAGGCGTTCACAACGCTCCCAGGCGCTCCCAAGCGCTCCAGGCGCTCCCAAGCGCTCCCAGGCGCTCCCAAGCGCTCCCAGGTGCTTTCAGGCGTTCCAGGCGCTCCCAAGCGCTCCCAACGCTCCCGGGCGCTCCCACGCGCTCCCAAACGCTCCCATTCGTTGTATTTACATCGAGGGGAGATATGATCTTTATGGCAGGGTGGTTTGCGGGTGGGACTGGCAGCCACCGCAGGTGGGCTCCTAGGCAGGAGGGGATCAGCTGCGGCAGAGCTTGTAGACCCTAAACCCTAAACCCTAAATTCTTGACGCTTCGCGTATCCCCACCAGCCCATCCAGAAACGATGTCCAGGCAAGTTGAAGAGATCAGGGAAGTGGGGGAGCAACGAGAGGGACAGCCGATCCGTGCAAAGGATGAGGCGGAAGAGGAGGCCAGATGGATAGATGAGGGGGTGGCGAGGAACCGAGCGAAGGAGGGATGAGGAGAATGATGACGCTGGGTGGATGGTTGAATGCCGCTCGGATGCCTCTTGGAAGCCTTTTGGAAGCCTCTTCGGGCGTCTTGGGGGTCTCTTGGCGGTCAATGGGGGCTCTTGGGCGTCTTGGGTGCTTCGGGGGGGGCCTCTTGAGGCCGCTTGGGATCCTCTTGGGGGGCTCTTGGGGGCCTGTTGGAAGCCTCTTGGGGCCTGTTGGGGGTCTCTTGGAGCTTCATGGCGGCCTCTTGGAGCCTCTTGGAGGCCTCTTGGAACCATCCTGGGAGCCTGTTGGAGCCTCTTGGGGGCTTCTTGGGGCCTCATGGCGGCGTCTTGGGGCCTCTTGGAGGCCTCTTGGAAACCTCTTGGGGCCTCCTGGGCGCTCTTTGGGGCCATCTTGGAAGCGATCGATCAAAGAAGAGGGAGGGTCCGGATTCGCCCCGCCCCCCGAAAAGGCCAAAATGGGGCCAAAACCCTAGTAAAACCTATGAGTTTGGCTTCCTCGCCGAGGCCGTTTTGGACGCCCTGACCGCTCGCGACCGGCCCCGTCCAGGTCCAGGGGAGGGGGTAGGGGGGAGGGGTAAACCCCTCCCCGAAGGGAAAAAAAGGGGGTGGAAGAGGAAACTCCCTAAACCACCTACGCCCAGAGGGCTGGTGGGATTCCCAAGCACCTCGTTGTGCTTCTGCCCACCCACCGCGCATCACCGTCGCCGTCTACGAGAGACAGAGCATCTCTGAGAAACGTCAGCTGGTTGCCTGAGTGGGTCGCCCATGCAGCCGTAGGCTGCCCTCCTTCGGGGAGTTGCGATTCTATGGTAAACTCCCCCTGATCCTCGAAGAATATAACACCCTAGACCCGACGACTTTTGTCTTCCGATTTGCCCCCATGCTCCTCCGACGCGTAAAACACGTGTGGGGCGCTCTAAGCCCCTCTGGGCGCGCTTGGGAACGCCTGGGGGCGCCTGGGAGCGTCTGGGAGCGCCTGGGAGCGCCTGGGAGCGCCTGGGAGCGTGCCGGCCGGGAGCGCCTGGGAGCGCCTGGGAGCGCCTGGGATCGCCGGGGAGCGCCTGGGACCGCCTCTGGGAGCGCCCGGGGAGCGCCTGGGGAGCGCCTGGGAGCGCCTGGGAGCGCCTGGGAGCGCCTGGGAGCGCCTGGGAGCGCGTGGGAGCGCTTGGAGCGCATTGGGGAATTTAGGGCCAGCGGCCCTAAACCCTCAAAGGCTTTAGTTTGGGAGGTCGCCGGCCATGCGGCTGGGGGTGGGAAGTGGTTGCAGCTCTTGCGTCGTCGCCAGGCTAGATCGGGTCGGCTAAACGCCCCCCCAATCAAGTCTGCCGAAGGGGGGGCAGCCTTGCTCAGACTGTCGGCCGCTGCGCGCCCGAGAAGCCTTAAGCCCTAAACCCTGCACTCCTGTGGCTAAGCGGGCAGTGCCTGCCACATGAGAAAGCGAGGCTCCCAGGAATCGTGGGCTGGATGTCTCGGGCCGCTGTCAGGCTCCTGAGGTCCTCCGCGGGCCCTGGTGCCTTCAGAAGACAGCTCGGGAGGCAGAGCTGATCCCAGGGAGAGGCCCTCGGGATCGAGGCCACGTTTCCCTCGGTGCCCTTTTCTAGCATGCCCGAATCGCTTTCGTAAGCCAGGTTCCATTTCGATCCGGTCGATCCGATCCGATATCGACGTCGGCCGTCTCGATCCGATCCGACTTCAATTCTTCAGCGAGCCGATGCGGTCCGATGCTTGCAGGGTATTCTTGTGCACCCTGGCGCAGCAGACTCGAATCGCTCACGAGCAGCCCGATTCAACGCACATTCCGATTCGATCCGATTTCCGAATTCGATGCTGAATGATCCTGTACCTTCTTGCATGCCCAACTTGTTCGTGTAAGCACTGATTTTCGGACGTCGCCAGATGGTCTCGCCGCTGCGGGCGGTGCCCAAGGCGCCGCCCAGAGGTATATGAGGAGTGGGTTTGGTGCCTGCGGAGAAGCCCGACAGGCCGACACGAGGTCCTGTCGACCCGAGACGACTGCGTCGTCGGCTGCGGCGCTCTTTCCAGATCTGTCGCTGTTGTGCCCGAGGGGGCTCGAAAGACGAAGCCTGTGATCGCAGATGCTGTTCGCGGGATCCCGCCGTGTGATTGCGGCCGCTACAGTCGGACCGAGGTATAAGATCGAGGTCGGCTCGGGGAAGGTGCCCTCGTGTTCTTCGTGTTTATTGGATGTTCTTGTGCATCCTGGGGAGGGTGCCCTTGGATGTTCTGTTTGTCTGCGCCGGCAGATGTTCTCATGTTCCTGGAGGACTTTCCTCTGGCCTGGGTCCCAATGGATTGGGGACGTTCACAGGTCTTCCGCTGGACGTGGACTCGGAGTACATGGAGATGCCCGTGCTTGGGATCTCCGCCGGCAGCTTCCCGCTGGTCGTGAACGTGGTCACCTGCTTCTTCCAGGCGCCACGGCCGGCGGGGGCGTGCAAGCGCGTCCGAGCGCAGCTGAGGGCATGCGTGGTGCGGTACTCCAACATGTGCGGAGGATGTGAAGACGAGGAACAGGAGAAGGAGGAGGAGGAGGAGGAAGATGAGGGGGCAGAGGACAAGGAGGACAAGGGAAGACGAGTGTCAGATCTTGACTATCTTTATCATCATCCGCTTCTCGGAAACCAGGATCCAGATTGCCAGGGGGAAGAGGAGGGGCAGGAGGAGGGGCGGTAGGAGGAGGATGGGCTTCAGGATCATAGGCTTGTGCGTTCTTCTCTCACTCGCGACGCTGTACTCGTGTACTTCTCGTCATGTGGTTCCATCTGTTCTGAGCGTCTGGTCTTTCTGGCCAAGCCTTGCAAGCCCAGATTGCACGCGTCTTGGTCGGCGAAGCTTTGGGACGGGCTCCTGAGTTGCGAGTGCAGCTGAGAGAGCCTGCAAATAGACATGGGGGAAGAGGGGCGATGAGCACGAGGAGGTACGGTGACGGGAAGCTGCCATCGCATTGCCAACATTGAGCTTCCAGTTTGCAGGCGTCCTCGGCGTTCAGACATTCTTCGATCGGTTGAACCGGTTGCGTTTCAGCTCGGTAAGCTTCTTTGTATGCTCAAAAGCGGAGTTCGGTGTGGATGATCCCATTGCCCTGAATGTCCTCCTGCGCACGAGGGGGAGGGGGGAGGAGGAGGGTGAGGAGGAGGAGGAGGAGGAGGAGGAGGAGGAGGAGGAGGAGGGACGTGGATGCAGGGCGAGGGGAAGGGAGAAGGCGGGACGGGGATGAAGGAGGATGAGGACGAGGAGGAGGAGGAGGAGGAGGAGGAGGAGGAGGAGGAGGAGGAGGAGGAGGAGGAGGAGGAGGGGGAGGAGGAGGAGGAGGAGGAGGGGGATGGGGAGGGAGCAAGAGGAGGGTGAATGGGAGGATGAAGAGGATGGGGAAGGTGACGAGGAGCCGCCAGTCGAAGCAGGTTTGTTTTTTTATGGTTCGAGTTCTGTTTCGTATCCCATCTACTGTGTGACGGGCCTGGTGAGTCTCGGGGTAGGTGTTTGCTTGCTGTCCTCCTGCGGAAGAGGAAAGATGAGATAGAGGAGGATCGGGAAAGTAATGCCTCCTCCTCCTCCTCCTCATCCCATCCGTTTTCAGGCTACACTTGAGAATCTGGTGTCCTCACCCATTGTCCCTCTTCCCATCAAGGATGCGAACCAGCTCTGCTGGGGGGGGGGAGGTGCAAGGAGGAGGGAGGAGGAGGAGGCGGAGGAGGGAGGGCGTTTGTTGGTTGGAACCCGCCAGGTGGTGTGCTTCCTCACCTTCGCGTCATACGCAGACTACGGGTCATCTCGGAAGCCAGGGCGGTCCAAGCCGCAGCTGATAGTAAGACCTGACTCTCCTCTCAATTCGTTTTCCTTACAGGTTACTCCTCACTGTCGCACCCCGAGGCCGGTCGACAGGGCTGGCCGGGCATTTCGCTTGAGATTGCCTGGCCATTTCTCAGCCTGAAGCTTAACAACTGGCACCAGTTTCACAGGTGGAGGGCGGGCCGCTTACAAAGTGTGGCCCTCGCCTGAGCGCTGGAAGGATCTGGGCACCCTCGGAACGCTTTCGGCGAGGCCCGTCGTCGGGAAACCGGCCCGAACTTGACGAAGCTTTTGGAGCATCCCTTTCTTCTGGGTGGTGGCGGTGGAGGCTTGGGGTCGCCTCCAGAGAGTCGGGGGCAGCCAAGGGGGGGAGGGGGTTGACGACCGGGAGAGGTGAGCATCGTCGCCGGGGCCCTGATCTCACCGCGGGCCTCGTGGCCCCTCTTCCTACGTCTAGACTTCAGTCGGGATTTTGGACGAAAAATTGAAAACATTCAAACAATAACCAACAAATGCTCAAAAATAGTCAGGGGACTATTTCTGGAGTATTTTTTTGGCCATTTCGGAGCATTTTTGGAGTCTTTTTCATTTTCCGTCGAAGATCCCCCTGTAGGGGGGCACGCCCGACTTCATCCTACGTCCAGACGCCCCCCCCTGGCCCCGCGCGCGGCCCGGGGGCCTCGACGTGCGACCGCCCCCCCCCCCCCCCCTTCTGGTGGTCGACTGCACAGCAGAGGGCGGCCCTTCGCCCGGGGTTGGCCCTCGGTGCGGGGCTCCCCCGGGGCCCCCCCGGATGGCTGAGCGCGATGCGATTTGGCTCGGGGGCGGCAAAAAGGGGGGTGATGACTAGGGGGGGGGGTGGATATCATGGCGGGGGCCATGATATTTCCTCAAGATTTCATGGCGCCCCTTTTTGTTTCATGACGCCCCTCGCCCCCCCGCTGGGCCGCGCACATGCCGCCGGTCATGATTCGCACCCCCCCCCCCTCTTGGACACCCCCCTTTTGGCCGCTCCCGAGTAGCCGCTGCCAGCGCGCTTGGGTTCAAGGGCGAACCACGAGGGCGCGAGGCTCTTCGAGCTGCCGCGCTCCGCGGTGCGGCTCCGGCTCCTCCTCTTCCTCCTCTTCTCCTCTGGGAGGCGGCGCGAGGGCGCGAAGTGATTCACACTTCGCGCTTCGCGCAGCGCGAAGCGCGAAGCTGGGAGCCCTTGTGGATGTGGCCACCCGGCGCCCCTTTAATCCGCACTCATCTGGGCCTCCCAGATGGGGTCCGAGTAGATGGGGTCGACGGATCGCTCCGCATCGCCGATGCATCGCCGATGCGGCTCGACGTGGAGCCCGATTTGCTTCACGTCGGCGTCGCCGATGCATCGCCGACGTCGACGACGCATCGCCGGTGCAGCGCCAATATCTCGCCGATGCATCGCCGCTGTCCCGGCGATGCGGCGCGACCCTCCGACCCCATCTGCTCTGACCCCATCTGGGAGGCCTCCAGCGTGTCTGATCTTGGACGACCCCTCAGAGGAAGAGCTACCTGGTCGCTCTGACGTGGGCGGGCGGGGTCACCCTCTTCATGAGCATTTTCTGCCTGTCCGGGTCGCTCTGGTGGTTGGCCGGCCTCGCCGGGGCCTCGGCCGGGTCACCCTCTTCATGAGCATTTTCTGCCTGTCCGGGTCGCTCTGGTGGTTGGCCGGCCTCGCCGGGGCCTCGGCCGCGGGGGGGGGGCGAGGAGGCCGGGCGGGGGAGAGGAGGAGGAGGGAGGAGGAGGAGGAGAGGAGGAGGAGGAGGAGGAGGAGGAGGAGGAGGAGGAGGAGGAGGAGGAGGAGGAGGAGGAGGAGGAGGAGGAGGAGGAGGAGGAGGAGGAGGAGGAGGAGGAGGAGGAGGAGGAGGAGAGGAGGAGGGGAGGAGGAGGAGGAGGACGGGAGGAGGAGGAGGAGGAGGAGGAGGAGGAGGAGGAGGAGGAGGAGGAGGAGGAGGAGGAGGAGGAGGAGGAGGAAGGAGGAGGAGGGAGGAGGAGGAGGGAGGAGGAGGAGGGAGGAGGAGGAGGGAGGAGGGAGGAGGAGGGAGGAGGGAGGAGGAGGAGGGAGGAGGGAGGAGGGAGGGAGGGAGGGGGAGAGGAGGAGGGAGGAGGGAGGAGGGAGGAGGGAGGAGGGAGGAGGGAGGAGGAGGGAGGAGGGAGGAGGGAGGAGGGGAGGAGGGAGGGAGGGAGGAGGGGGAGAGAGGAGGAGGGAGGAGGGAGGAGGGAGGAGGGAGGGGAGGAGAGGAGGAGGGAGGAGGGAGGAGGGAGGATGGAGGAGGAGGAGGAAGGAGGAGGTGGAGGAGGTGGAGGAGGAGGGGCAGGAGGAGGACGAGGAGCTTGTGTTAGGTGTGCCATTTCTTCCCATGTGATCTTCAGGATGCCAATCATCCCTGCTACCTCTGCGAGCTGGGGAGGCCCGATTATTTGTGTAGTGGTTGATTCTCCGAGTGCCGCACCGCACGAATCGGACGCGACCCCTGTGCACAGGCCCTTGTGGTCAGCCTTTCGTGCGAACGGCTGCAGCGGGCTGAGCAGTGGGATGTGGAGGTGGATGTGGTTGGTGCAGACGGGGGAGGTGGAGGTGTGTACAGGATAGAGTTGGATGGGTGACGGATCGGGGAGGAGGAGGACGATGAGAGGAGGAGGAGGCGGAGGACCATTGTCAGCCCAAGACTCATCAACGATATGGCAGTAAACCCTACTTCCGAGTTTCCTCTTCACAGGCCCCATAGAAGGATTCATTTTCACTGAGGGAAGTGCCCCGTTGGAAGACAACCGCGTGAGCATCCTGAACTGTACCAGAACACAGTAACTGTTGCGTCTTGACGATCCGGAATCGTGCTAAACCCGCGAGTCACCGAAATTTTTGCGCTTTGACAGTCCGACATCGCTCCGAAGCACCATGTGTGGGACGTTATCATGCGAATTCTGGAAACTCTTGTGAACTCTTAACATGGATGTGCGCGGCGCTAAGGCCAGAGCCAGAGTTTGAACAGAGACCGCCCTCCGCCAATGAAGCTCTTGCTCTTGTTCAACGAGTGTTCCGGGCGCGAAGGCGAGAGCCACGTGCTGAGAACGACCTGCCCTTCCTCCGTGGAGCTCTTGCGGAAGCTTGAGGCGAGTGCGCGCGGTGCCTCGGCATGGGCCACGTCTTGAAGACGGCCCACGCTCCGTCCGTGAAGCTCTCGCCCGCGTTCAGAACGAATGTGCGCGGCGCCAGGGCGAGAACCGAATTTTCAGAACGACCCGCCCTCCATCCGTGCAGCTCCTGCACACGTCTAAGATGACGGTGCGCGGCGCGAAGGCGAGAGCCAACTTTTGAACGCGGCCCGCCATGCATCGGCGAAGCTCTTGCAGATTCTTAGCTTGAGGGTCGTACATGGTGAGGAAGTCTCCGGCGAAGCGCCCTGGCCCGCCCGACGGACACGCCTCTGGGTGCAACGGGGGGAAGCTGTTGATTAGGAAACGGATGGAGGAGGAGGAGGAGGAGGAGGAGGAGGAGGAGGAGGAGGAGGAGGAGGAGGAGGAGGAGGTGGCAACAAAAACGCGCCCGCCGCACACGTGTTATCGCAAGGGGGCCCCAGCTTCAATCTGCCCCCCCCCCCCCCCCCTCCCTTGGAAAGGGGGGGGGGGCTTCCGAAGCTCCCCCTCCTCTGCCCCCCCTTTTGTGGCCATGTTTTCCCGTGGGTGGGCCCTAGCTGAAGGCGGTAGGGGGACTTGGAAGCTCCCCCCCCCCTCCCCCCTTTTTGGGACCCGGGGTCAGCCTGAGCTCCCTTTTCAAAGAGGGGGGGGCTTCCGAAGAACCCCCCCCACCTCCTTTCGTTCAGGTGTTGTAGCTGGGGGGTCCCTGGCTCAAGGGAGGGGGGTGGTGGAAGCTCCCCCCCTTCCTACTTTTCGATGCCTGGGGGCTTCCCTTTCCAAAGGGGGGGGGGTGATTATGTTGGCTGTTCTAGCCGGAGGGCCCTGGCTGTAGGGGTGGCTTCGAAGCTATTTTTCTTTTTTTTGGTTGTCGGTGCCCCGTTGACTCTCGGCGTACTTGTGGCTTTCGGCGTCTCTTTGATTTTCGGTGCCTCTTTGGTTTTGGCGCCCCTTTGGCCTTTGGCGCCCCGTTTGTTTTCGGCGCCCCTTTGGTTTTTGACTCTCCGTCGGTTTTTGGCGCTCCTGGGGTTTTCGGCGCTCCTTTGGTTGTCGGCGTTCCTTTTGTTTTTCTGGGCGCACTTCGATTTTCGGCGCGTCGTTTGTTTTTGGTGCCCTCTTGGGTTCCGACGCCACTGTGGTTTTCGGCGCCCTCTTGGTTTTCGGCGCCCTTTTAGCTTCCGGCGCCCCTTGAGTATTCGGCGCTCTTTTGTTTTTCGGCGCTCTTTGGTTTTCGGCGCCTCTTTGGTTTTTGTTGGCGCCCTTTTGGTTTTCGACGCACTTTTGGTTTTCTGCGGCCCCTTGGTTTTTCGGCGCCCTGTTGGGTTTCGGCGCATCGTTGGTTTTCGGCGCCCCTTTGGTTTTCTGCGCCTCTTCAGTTTTCGGCGCTCTGTTGGTTTTCGGCGCCCCTGCGATTTTCGGCGCCCCTTTGGTTTTCGGCGCCCCGTCCGTCTTCGGAGCTTCTGTTGTTTTCGGCGCCCCTTTTGGTTGTCGGCGCCGCTTTGGTTTTTCGGCGCAATTGTGGTTTGCGGCGCATCGTTGGTTTTTGGCGCCCCATTCGTTTTCGGCAGCTCCTTTAGGTTTTCGGCGCCCCTTGGGTGTTCGGCACCCCTTTGGTTTTCGGCGCCCTGTTGGTTTTCGGCGCCCTTTTTGTTTTCGCTGTCCTTTTGGTGTTCGGCGCCCTTGGGGGTTTAGGCGCATCTCGGTTTTCAGTGGCCCTTTTTGTGTTCGGCATTTTTTTTTTGCTTTAGTAATCCTTTTGGTTTTCTGCGCCTCCTTGGTTTTCGGGGCCCCTTTGGTTTTCGGCGCCCTTTCGGTTTTTGGCGCCCCTTTGGTTTTTCGCGCCCTTTCGGTTTTCGGTGCCCCTTAGGTTTTCGGTGCTCCTTTGGTTTTCAGCGCCGTTTTGGTCTTCGGTGGTTTTCGGTGCCCCTTTAGTTTTCGGCACCGTCTTGGTTTCCGGTGCCCTGTTTGGCGACCTTCTCGTTGTCGGCGCACTGTTGGTTGTCGGTGACCCTTTGGTTTTCGGCGTCTTTTTCATGTTCGGCGACCCTTTGGTTTTCGGCGCCCTTTTGGGGTTCGCCGCTCTTTGGTTTTCGGCGCCCTTTTGGTGTTCGGCGTTGCTCTTGTTTTCGGGGCTCTTTTTGTTTTCAGCGAGTCTTTGGTTTTCGGCCCCCGCTGATTTTCGGAGCTTTTTTTGTTTCGGTGCATCTTTTGTTGTCGGCGTTCTTTTGGTCTTCGACGCTCTGTTGGTTTTCGGCGCGTCTTTGGTTTTCGGCTCCCTTTTGGTTGTCGGCGCCTTGTTGGTTTTCGGAGCCCCTTAGGTTTTTGCCACTCCTCCAGTTTTTGACCCTCCTTTTGTGTTCGGCGCCCTTGTGGTTTTCAGCGCACCTTCAGTTTTCGGCGCCCGTTCGGTTTTGTATCGTTCCTTCGGTCTTCGGCGCGCCTCTGGTTTCTGCACCCATCCTGTGTTCCGTGGCCCGTTGGCTTCTGGCGCCCTGTTGGTTTTCGACGCCCTCTTTGTCTTCGGCGCTCCTTCCTTTAGCCTTGAGTCGGGCCTGTCCCTCTACAGGGGGAATATCCAAAAATAGTTTACAAAATAGTCTGGGGACTATGTTTGACCATCTCTAACTGTGTTGGGATATTTCTTAACTTTTCTTAATTTTTCATCCAAAATCGGCCTGTAGGGGGACACGCCCGACTTAACCTCTTTAGCCAAGGGGGGGGGTGCTTCCAAGCCCCCCCCCTTGGCCAAAAAGGGGGGGGGGGGGGGGAGAGCGTCCGGCAAGGAAGCTTCAAAGGGGGGGGGGGGGTGGTAGCTGAGCCCCCCCCGCCGCTTTCGAAAGAGGGGGAGGGGGGGTAGCCTGAAGTCGGGCCCGTCCCTCTACAGGAGGAATATTCAAAAACAGTAAAATAATAGTATGGGGACGATTTTTTTGATTATTTTTGCCCATTGGAGGGGCATTCTTCGAGTATCATTTATTTTTCGCCCATAATCCCCCCGTAGGGGGACACGCCCGGCTTATGGGTAGCTTCCACAGCGCCAATGGGGGGTAGAAGGGGGGTAGCTTCCGAGGGGCGGACAAAACAAATGGGCGGGGGCGGGGGGGGGGCTTCTGGCAGTGGCGGCTCAAAGGGGGGGGGTTAGCTAAGCCCTCACCCCCTTTGGAAAGGGGTCGAGGGGGTGGTAGCTTCCTGAGCTTGTCTTCCGAGGGGCGGAACAAAAAGGGCGGGAGGGCGGGGGAGGCTTCGGTAGGGGAGGTCCAAGGGGAGGGGGGGGGTGTAAAGAGGGGACCCGCCTGTTGGCAGTGTGCGACGGGAGCGCTCTCTCGAGGAGGGGTAGCATGATGATAATGATGATGATGATGATGATGATGATGATGATGATGATGATGATGATGATGATGATGATGATGATGATGTTGATGATGATGCTGATGATGATTATGTTGATGATGGTGATGATGCTGATGCTGATGATGATGATGCTGACGCTGATGATGATACTTATTGTCATGATTCTCAGTATTATTATTATTGTAATGACGATGGTGCTGATGATGTTGGTAATGCTGATGATGATGGTGATGATGCAGATGATGATCATGCTGTCGATGTTGCTGCCGATGGTGATGATGGTGACTGCGATCAATAATGATGATGGTGGTGGTGATGATGGTGGTGCTGATGCGACTGATGATGCTGATGATACTGATGATGATGATGACGATGGTGGTGCTGATGGGAATGAGGATGGGGATGAGGTTGATGAGTATGATGATGATGATGATGGCAATGGTGATTATGAGCATTTTGTTGATGATGATGATGATGGCGACGTCTATGATGAGTGGTATGGTGGTGATGGTGATCATGATGCTGCTGATCATGGTGATGATGTTCATGACTGGTGCGGGTGGTTATGATGGTGCTGAAGATGCTCATGCTGATGTTGCTGATGATGATGACGATGATGACGATGATGATGATGCTGTTGATGATGCAGTCGATGATGATGATGATGATGACGATGATGATAATGATGCTGATGATGATGCTGATGATGGGAATAGGGCTGTTGTTGATGGTGATGCTGATGATTTTGATGACGATGACGATGGTACTGATGATGATGATGCTGATGATGCTGATGATGATGGTTATGATGATGATACTGGTGGTGATGCTGCTGCTGCTGCTGCTGCTGATCATGATGATGATGATGATGATCATGATGATGATGATGATGATGATGATGATGATGATGATGATGATGATGATGATTATGATGATGATGATGATAATGATGATGATGATGATGCTGATGATGATGATGATGATGATGATGATGCTGATGCTGATGATGATGTGATGATGATGATGCAGGCGATGAAGCTGATGTTGATGCAAATGCTGATGATGATGCTGCTGCTGATGATGATGATGATGATGAGGGGGAGGAGGAGGAGGGAGAGCGAGGGGAGGCGGAGGGGAGGAGGAGGGATATATTGAGATGCTGAATGAGGAGGCAAGTGGAGGAGGAGGATGATTGCCTGTGGGAGGATGGGACGGTGTAAAGTTAGGAGCTTTTGTGTCTCGTGACCAGGTGAGGGAGGAGGAGGAGGAGGGAGGAGGAGGGAGGAGGAAGGAGGAGATAAGAGGAGAGGGAGGAGGAAGGAAGGGGGAGGAGGAGGAGGAGGAGGAGGAGGAGGAGGAGTGGCAGCATGTTGATAACGGAGAAGGGCGTGGTGGAGGAGGAGGTGCGGAATGTTGATGATGCGGATCATGAAAATATTACCGTTGTGGTTGTTGTGTTCGAGGATATTGATGATGACTGCGATGACGACGATGACATACTTCTGATGGTTTGATGGTGGGGATAACGGGATGGCAACGCTATGACACATGAGGAGGATGAGGAGGCATAAGAGGAGGAGGAGGAGGAGGACGACGAGGAGGAGGACTTGAGGATCGCGAGCAGGAGAGAGTGCCGAGGTGCGGATTGCGTCGGGCATCTTCTTCGGCTTGTGGGCGGCATACAAATCTGGGGCCGAGGGATCATCCTTCTCCGTCGCCCCTCTCCTCCTTTTGGCTTCGCCTGCTCGCTCGCTCTTTGGCTCCCTTCGGCCATCCCGCCGCCGTGCCTGGATCGTGGACAGTAGGTATATGCAATGCGTCTTGGGACCTCTGTTGGGGGGCCTCGGAGGGGCCGCTTGGGGCGTGTTTGGGGCCTCTTGCCTCTTGTGGGGGTCATGGGGGCGTGTTCGGGGCCTCCTGCGACTCCTTGGGGGTCTCTTCGATGCCTCTGGCTGTTCCTGTGGCCCTCTTGGCACGGGGGGCTTCGAGTGGGGGCCCGAGCTCCTCCTCTTGGACTCCTCTTGATAGCCTCTTGATGGCCCCCTCTTGTGGGCCCCTTGGGCGGGCCCGTTTGTGGCTCTCTTGAGGATCTCTGGGGCCGTCTTGGTCGCTCGGGAGATGGGCAGAGCCAGCATTGGGCGAACCACAGAGCAGTGCTGCTTCGTGATTCTGGGCCTCTTGGGCAGGCCTCCTCGGGCCTTCTAGACAGCATCAGGGGCCCACTAGAGAGCCCCAGGACGGCCCCCGTGAAGTTCGGTGTATGGGCCCGGCTCCCGAAAGCTCCCGACACATGCCGTGGAGTCCCCCGAGTTCCTGCCATTGCCCGGGAATTCCTGAAATCGAAGGCGGGGCGTTCCAGGAGCAGATGCGGTTCCAGATGTATAGGGCTCCAGGACACTCCTCGTCGTACCTCGTGACATGGTGGCAGATATGTAAGTAAGGCTCTTTTCCTTTTCTCTCTTCCGCTCTTTGTCTCTCTCTCTCTCTCTCCCTCTATTTCTTGTCCCCCTTCTAGATCTCCCCGTGCTGCTCCTCCCCACGGCCAGATCACGTTTCAGTAAGATGTACTATTGTTGAAGTTGAGGATGCACACCTTCATATTTGTCCATTATCGTCTAGTGGTCTTCGGCTCATTCCGCCACCGCTTTCTGAGGTCATAGGCCCCTTGTGGTCTCTTTGGGTACCTCTTCGGGGCCTCCTTGGTCCCACTTGAGCTCCTCGATGTCTCTTGGGGGCCTCTTGGGGTCCTGCTGGCGACCTTGGGGCCCCATGGGGGGGGGCAGTGCTCCCGATGACCATTCGTGCTCCCTACTGTGCGCTCTCGTGAGGCTGTCTCGGGGGTTCCTTGATCACTTCTCGGCGGCTTGGGGGGCCTTCTTTGGGTGGACTTCGTGGGCCTATTGGGCCATCTTGAACGCAGTTCTTACAACAGCGAGAAGCCGAACACACATCAAGCAATACCTCAGGCTTTTGGACGACCTTGGCCTCTTGGAGTTCCAGGCCGAACATGTGCCCATGAGACCCCCACGACGGGCCCGGAAGGCGTGCTGGACACGTTGGAATTACGCTTCGCTTCCGAGGCCTCGGGAGGAGCCGTGCGGCACAGCCCGAGAGCACCCAGCGAACTCCAGGAATCGGCGGCTTCCCGAGGCGAGCGTTCTCAATATCCGAGGTTGCGGGCACGAGGCCCGAGGACACGCCCGCGCGCGGAGCTGCTGCAGGTGTGTGCCCCAGTGTGGGTTCAGTATCTACCCCCCCAGACACCTTGCAAGGCGTGTCTTTACCAGGGGAGCTACACGTCGAGTGCCAGCATCTGGCAGTCTTCGGAGCCGTGTGTCCATCATGGTTGCTAGCATCTCTTGTTGCAAGCGGCAGTGGGCGAATCTGGGAACCTAGAGTGTGCACCTCCCTCGGTGCTCCGTCGACACCACTTAGGAGGCCAGAATCTCCTGGATGTCTTCATGGGTGAGGCACTTCAGCACTTCAGGTTGCAGTGGGATGCACGTCGTTTCACCACATCCTTCGTTTCGGCCGCTCGTTGAACCGCAATGCAATCAGCTTCCTCACCGCCCCCTCTTTCTTCTCCGCCGATCCACCTCCCCCCTCCTCTCAGGCTCGGGACAGTGCGGGGGGGGAGGGATGAGGAGGAATGGGAGGACGAGTAGGAGGACGAGGACGAGGAGGATGAGGTGGATGAGGAGTTCGGAGAGAAGGAGTGCAAGCAGGAGGGTGAGGAGGAAGGGACGAGGTTTGAAAAGGGGACTGGGAGGAAGAGGAGGAGGAGGAGGAGGAGGAGGAGGAGGAGGAGGAGGGGGAGGAGGAGGAGGAGAAAGGGGAGGAGGCGAAAGGGGAGGAGGGAGGAGCAGAAGGTGGAGGGAGGAAGGATGGATGGAGGGACGGAGGGATGGATGCACGCAGTATCGCTCGCTCCAGATATACACTGAAGCGGCATCCAGGCATGAGGATGACCAGTTTCATAAGGACTCCCTGTCCCCTCCGCCTTCACCTCCCCCTCCTTTGCGCAGCCGCCTTGTGCCGCGGGTTCCCGCGTCGACGCGGCGGCGACCCCATCGCAGGCGTTCAGAGCTGAGCGCCGACAGAGGAACGCTCTCGGGCGACCTGCGCTCAAGGATGCACGCGACATCGAGCGACCTGCGCTGTCGGAAAGGGCTACGACCCTTCCGGGCTGGAAGGCCCGCGCGGCGTCAGAAACACCAACGCCCCGCCCGTCATGACACGAACCTGCCGTATTCCTCCTCCTCCTCCTCCTCCTCCTCCTCCTCCCGTCCTTCCCCTCCCCCTCCGCTCCCCATCCGCTTCCCCTCCCTCCCCCCCAACTCCTCCTCCTCCCTCCCTCCCCTACTCCTCTCCTCTCCTCCTCCTCCTCCTCCTCTCCTCCCTCCTCCTCCTCCCTCCTCCTCCTCCTCCTCCTCCTCACCTCCTCCTCCCTCCCCCTCCCCCTCCTCCTCCTCCCCTCCCCGCTCCTCTCCTCCTCCCTCCTCCCTCCTTCCCTCCTCCTTCTCCTCCCCCTCCTCCTCCTTTTCCTCCTCCTCCTCCTTTTCCTCCTCCTCCTCCTCCTCCTTCCTCCTCCTCCTCCTCTCCTCCTCCTATCCTCCTCCTTCCTCCTCCTCCTCTCCCCTCCCTCCTCCTCCCTCCCTCCTCCCTCCTCCCTCCTCCCTCCCTCCTCCCTCCTCCTCCTCCCTCCTCCCTCCTCCCTCTCCCTCCTCCTTTTCTCCCCCTCCTTCTCCCTCCTCCTCCTCCTCCCTTTTCCTCCTCTCTCTCCTCCTCCTTTTCCTCCTCCTCCTCCTCCTCCTCCTCCTCCCTCCTCCTCCTCCTCCCTCCTCCTCCTCCCTCTCCCTCCTCCTTCTCCTCCTCCCCTCCTTCTCCTCCTCCTCCTCCTTCTCCTCCTCCTCCTCTCCTCCTTCCTTCCTCCTCCTTCCTCCTCCTCCTCCTCCGCCTCCTCCTCCGTACGGTCGGCACTGCCAGCAGGCCCCACCCTGCCGCACACCAGGGCGCCCCCCCCCCCCACGCCCCTCCGCCCCTCCGCCCCTCCTCCTCCTCTCCGCCCTGCCCGTCGCGCTTTTCGTACCCTCCCCGTGCTTAGAGCAGAGGCTGGCCTCGGAAGCCTCCTCTGTGCCCTCTCGATCTGTCTTCTGCACGCGGCCCCGACTGTAGGATGAGGTTCGGGCCCAAGCACGGTGCTCCCTCTGGGGCACGGCTGGACCTGTTCGGAAAAGAGGCCTTGGCATCGCTCGGACTAGTGCATCTTCTCAGCGAGGACCGCCGAGGAGCTTCCTGGATCACCTCGCAACAGGGGCATTCGAGCGATGGTAAAGTTCTGGGCCGTCTCCCGAGACCTTCCACGTTTTTTCAAGAGAAATGCAGAGGTTCCTGCTCGTCTTCGGACTCCAGGCCCTCGTCTGGGCCCAGACCATCAAACAGTCGTTTAGGATGGCGAGCCGGTCTCGGGGAAGGGTTCGGACTTTCAGGGGGGCTTGCACAGATAGCAACATCAGGTATCGGATTTCTGGGTTCTGGAACCCACTTTCGTCGTCGGTCCCCAGAGGTACATGGAGGTTTCCGGAGGCTCAGAGAAGGCCAAGAGTTGGCAAGATAAGTTTTCCGATCTACCCCCAGCAGACATCATCTACATACACATAAGTACATGCACATGCATACACATGCAAACAGACATACAGAAACATAATGAAAGCTGAGTCCCGGAACGCCTTTTCCCCATGGCTGGCTTTTCGTCCTGAGTAGTTTTTGACAGTCCATGGGCTGGTCCAGCCAGACCTGTAACGTGCTGAAGAACATCAAGAGGGAGGCGTTTAGCCGTCTTCGGCCTCTGCGGGCCCTCGCCGGGCCGGGGGGCCGGCAAACAATCACTCATGAGAAAAATTGGCCCTCGGGACTTCCCAGGACCCCGCATTGAAAAGGTCAAGGCATCGGATTTTTGGGGGGAGGCGTCAGCGTGAGGCGGTAGGAGGGAGGAGGGACGATGGGGGCAGGAGGAGGAGGCATCGAGGGGAGAGGCGTGAGCGAGAATGGGCAGGAAGATGACCAGGAGGGCACTGATGAGGAGGAGGACGGGGAGGAGCAGAGTGAGGGAGAATGGTGGATGATGAGGAGGAGGAGGGCTAGGACAATGATGATGACGGTGATGATGATGATGATGATGATGATGATGATGATGATGATGATGATGATGATGATGCTGCTGCTGATGATGATGCTGATGATGATGATGATGATGATGATGATGATGATAATGATGATGATGATGATGATGATGATGATGGTGCCGATGCTGATGCTCATGATGCTGATGATGATGCTGATGCGGATGCTTGTGAGGATGGTGCTGATGATGGTGATGATGGTGCTGATGATGCTGATGATGATGATGATGTTGATGATGATACTGACGATGACGATGATGCTGATGACGATGATGAGTGTGATGTGCGATGCTAATGGTGATGATGATACTGATGATGATGCTGCTGATGGTGATGCTGATTATGCTCATGATGATGCTGTTGATGATGATGTGATGATGTTGATGATGCTGCTGATCAGGATGATGATGCTGTTACTGCTTCTGCTACTCATGATTATGATGATGATGATGATGATGATGCTGATGACGATGATGATGATGATGATGCTGCTGCTGATGCTGATGTTGATGCTGATGCTGCTGCTGATGATGATGATGATGATGATGATGATGATGATGATGATGACGATGCTGATGATGATGATGATGATGCTGAGGAGGAGGAGGAGGAGGAGGAGGAGGAGGAGGAGGAGGAGGAGGAGGAGGAGCAGAGGAGCTGGTTGGAGCGGCGGATGAGGGACGAGGTATTTGCCTCGCGCTCCGACCAGGCCTGAGCCTCGTGTACTACAACGCCTTCCTGCCCTTGCTGGCGGACGCCCAGCCCGAGGTGGTGGAAAGCCGCAGCGGCGGGATCCCAGCGGAGATCCAGGACACATGACCCGTGAAGCGTGTACACCTTAGGCGATGCTTAAGAAAACTTAAGTTTTCGGCCAGAGTCTCGATTATTCTCAATGTTTCAATATAATTCCTAAGATGTTAATAGAAACGTTGGATTTTTATTCAAGTTCTGAGACTATGAATTCCTTAACCCATGATTTCTTAAGCATTTCGCAGGGTGTAGAACATTGTGCGGCCAGGAGCACGTGTTTTCAGAGGCGGATGCACTCAGATCTTGGCGCCGAGGAGGACCATCGTGACGGCTGGTTGATCGTCTTTTTTTGTTGTCTGCCGGGAGGCCGTTTCCCTTCCCAGGGACCGCCAGGCACGGCTCCGGATGAGAAGCCCGCCCCGTGGGGAAGTGGTCGAGATCTCCTGGGGTTGAGTTCACGAGCAAAGGTGCAACGTCGTTGGAGAGGAGAAGATACCGGTGGCGTTACCTATCCCTCGTCGCCACGGCTGGATTCCTCTCGAAGTTCTTGTCAGACCGCGCGTCGGGGAGTGGTGGTGTTGGTACTGTTTGATCTTCGCCCTCATGCTTGTGGTGTCGCGCCGCCAGTCCTGACCCACCACGCCTCGGCGCGACACGTGAGCATGTCCCAGTCCCCGAGCCCGAGCCTCAGCGTTCCTGGCCTTTCTCCCAGCCGTCACGCGAGGCAGAGCGACGTGCTGCCGGCTCGGCTGGCAGAGCGTGCTGCAGGGGCCGCCGCCGCGGTGCGCGGACCAAGCGCTCCTCGGCGCCAGCTCGCGGCGACCCGAGCTCGGGTGTCCAAGGTCGACCGCCGTTGTTGGCCCAGGAACCGGCCGACGTCGGGCGGTCTGCGTGCTGTGAGGCTTCGGGCTGTGCACACACACGTTTCTGATCCGCGGGTCGAGAGCGAGCCTCTTCCGGTCGAAGCTAAGCGGGCCGCGCACAGCTTTAATCGACAGAGGGGGGAAGGCAGAAGGAGGGGCCTCGCGTCAAGGCCAAGAGAGGGCAAAGCCCCAGAATCAGGCGGTGCCGAAGGCGAAGTGCATGGAAAGGAACGCCTCGTACAGCTGTGCACACACAGAGTCCCCCCCCGGGTAGTCCCTGCTGGCCTCAACAGGCTCCCCGGGCAGCCCCAGCTGGCCTCAACGGGCCTACCTCGGGGGGCTGTGCGCAGCCCGAAGCCTTACCCATCTGCAGTATCGGAAGGGCGCGGTGGCACCAGGTGGAGCGATCCACGTAGTGTCGGGAACGAGCGCCGACATCACCACCTCGTGAGCCCGCCGTAGACCAGCGCAGACTTGCCGCCGACCTCCGCTGATCACGCTGGAGCCGTCGGCGTGCCTCAGCGCATCGCGCTCCCTGCGCCGAACGGCTCCTGGGATCGAGCGCGCGCGGGCGGTCGTGGCAGGAGCGCGCGCCCTCTCTCCCGGGACCGCCGGCAGGACGCGAAGTCGGAGGCCCTGGACAGGCTCTCCGGCAGGGGCATGATGGTCGGGTGCCCTGTCCCCGAGGAGGGTCTTGGCATCGCTCGGACGTGTGCATTCTTCCTTCGGCGAGGACCATCGAGGAGCATCCTTGATCATTTGGCGAAAAAAACACGCACGAAATTGAAAAAAACATAGGGAATGGACGTCCGAGCGATGGCGAGGGGTCAGGGGCACAAGAAGTGACATGAACAGATAACAACTCGGAGGTCCGCGCGGATTCCTCGCATCGGCGCTGGACCCCCCTCCCTGGCGCGCGGAGCGCGCCAGGGGCGGCGCCGGAGGCGCCGCCGGGGGGCCCCAGCGCCGATCCGAGAGATCCTCGCGGACCTCGAAGTTTTTCTGTTCATGCGACTTCTTTGTGCCCCTGAGGGTGCCTGGCGTGGGGCGGTCAGTCAGCGGACGGGTGCGATCGAGTGCGAGGCCCGAGCGACGATCGAGGCCGCTCCCTCGCCGCGGGCTGCCCGAGGGGCCCTCCGCGGCGCCGCGCGGGGCGGGGCCCCCGTGGCCCGTGGCCCGAGCGCGTGCGTCTTCCGCCCGCGGCACGCGGCTGCAGGCGGGCGCGGCGTGCTGCACGGAGGGGCCTCGGGAGGGGGCCATGGGCCTCGACGATGCGCCTCGTCGTGCTCGCGCCTGCGTGGGGCCCCTGTCGGCCGCCTGTGCTGTTGTCCCTGCCGGGTCCTCGTGTGGCGTGCGGAGCGCGGCGTGCGGCACTGCCCCTCCTGGGGCCCGCCATCGTGAGAACGTTGCAATCACGAATTGCTCAGGGAATGCGCGCGTGTGCGCGTGCGTGCGTGCGTGCGTGCGTGCGTGCGTGCGTGCGTGCGTGCGTGCGTGCGTGCGTGCGTGCGCGCGCGTGTGTGTGTGTGTGTGTGTGTGTGTGTGTGTGTGTGTGTGTGTGTGCGTGCGTGTGCGCGTGCGCGTGCGTGTGTGTGTGTGTGTGTGTGATTCCTGGATTTGTTTGCGTTGTTCCAGAAACCTTCATGAGTCTGCGCATTGAATTTGAGGGGTCCGCATTTTGCCGCGCTGTCAGATAAGGTGGAAAAATCTGGACTGCGCGTGTCCCGCCTGACATTTACCCGCTAACTACGGCCATCAGCGCGTCGGAGGAAAACACATGTGTGCGTGTGAGAGAGAGAGAGAGAGAGAGAGAAAAAAAAGAGAGAGAGAGAGAGAGAGAGAGAGAGAGAAAGAGAGAGAGAGAGAGAGTGTGTGTGTGTGTTGGGGCGTGCGCCCCCTCCCCCTGGGAAACTCCCGCGCAGCGTAGTCCCTCATGGCTTGACGGCTTTAGGGTGCACCCATGTGCACCCTGTGCGTACCCCCGCCGGGGTGCCGGAGTGCTCGGCCGCGACCGAGATCACTGCTGCGTCCGGTCGGTAGCAGCTCATGGAAACCCGCGCCCGTCCTCGCAGATCCGTCTCTGAGTGCACCAACGTGCGCCAGCGTCTGGCAATCGATGAGAGAGCGTCGGCTCAGCGTCGATTTGCGCCGCTGGCAGTCAACCCGCATAGCACGGAAGAGCAACTGTCCAAGATTACCCTGGCATCCTTCTCCTTCGGCCCATCCTTGGCCGCTCTCGCTGGCCGCGCCCCGCTCGCAGAGCGCTGTCGTGGCCTTCCGAGGCCCTTGCATCCTCACCGCGCGTCCTTGCTGTTCTGCGCATAGAATGCGGCGCCTGTTCGCGCTGATCCGCAAGAGCCAACGAGATCAACGTGGAGGGCCTCCTCCTCCTCCTCCTCCCTCCTCCTCCTCCTCCTCCTCCCTCCTCCTCCTCCTCCTCCTCCGTAGCCATTTTGGCTCAAGGCTGTTTTCACACACGGCCTCACGGCCACTCCGCGATTGTACCTGGTGCCTCACTGGCACAACATCTTCCCGTTCTGGGTGAGCTCCTGGAGGAGCCCATGGGCAAGGATGCCGCCAAAGGCTACCTTTCTTGCTCAAGCTGCCGATACCGCTGGAACTGGAAGTCGCGTGAAAGTTGCTTCTCCTGTGGCAATGCGTTGGTCCCCTCGTCGCCGATGCCGTGGCGCCAGGCCAAACGAGTTTGGTCGCCTGGCGACGATGGTGGTGGCCAACAAGGGCCCGCGCACCCGCCAGGGACCTGGGCAGCCAGCCGCGTGGAGGCACCGAAGGTCTCGACGCCACCACAGCGAGGGGCGGCCCCGCAACCGACAGTGGCGGAGATCCTCAAGCAGCTCCAGCAGCATGTCAAGGCGGACGCAGGTGCGCAGGAACTGCAGGCCTTGGTCAGGGTTGTGGCGCCGCCCGCGTCTGCGCAGCCAGCCCGCAAGCCGCTGTTGGAGGAGACCATCAGTGCGAAGGGAGTGGCGTGCAGGAGGGCGGAGAAGGCCCTGGAGCATGCGGTCCGCCAGGAGGATGAGGCGCGGCGCTGGCTGGCGGAGTGCAGCCAGAAGGCCCAGGAGGCGGCAGTTTGGGCGGTGCAGGCCAAGACTGCCTGGCAAGAGGAGCTCAAGGTCGAGCTGCAGAAGGCCCGTGGCTCGACGCCTAGTGCGGGGCCTCCGCCAGATGCGGTGCATATGCCGACTGGCTCCCAGATCAACCTGTCGCAGTTGCTGGGGGAGGAGAGTGGCTTCGAAGGCGTGGAGATCGTGGACGGCGAGGCTCTCGACCTCAGCGAGCTCGAGATTGAAGACGAGGACAAGCAGCGGTGGCTTGCCCTCAAAAGCAGCATGGCGGCGGAGATCCAGAAGGCAATTGTTGCTGCCACCGGGCCCAGCGCTGACAACATTCAGCGGCTCAGGGCTGAAGCCAGAGACATGCGGAAACGCTTGTCGGCCAAGCGTGCCCGCCAGTCCGACCGTGGCAATGGCACCAGTGCCGCCGCCGCCGCCCAGCCTGGGACGCCACCCGCATCGGCGCCTGGGGCTCCTCCTGCGGCTGGTGCTGCCGTGTCTGGTGCTGAGTTTGCAGTGCCTGAGTCGGCGGCCACGGCACCCTCGGGGGGAGCCGACGCTCCCAGCACCCAGGAGCTGCAAGCTGCTGTCGAAGCGGCAAGAGCCAAGCTGGCCGAGGGCAGTGGGTCGGGCCTCTAGGGCTCAGCAGCTGTCAGGCAGGTGGCGCGCGGTTTTTTTCGGGGCTGGCGGCCCCTGGGGAGCCCGTGGAAAGGGCAGACCCTAAAGGCGGGCAGCGGGTCCTGGATCGAGGCCGCAGACGCGCGGGTGGTCGATACCTTCGATCGGATCCAGCCTCCACCTTGGGCTGCAGACGTGCAGGTCGTCGAAGCCCCAAGGTGGAGCGGCCTTGCCCCCTCACCGCATGCGAGGCGGTGGCGCGCTGGTTGTTCGGGGCTGGCGGTCCTTGGGGAGCCCATGGAAGGGCAGACCCTAAAGGCAGGCAGCGGGTCCTTGATCGATGCCGCAGACGTGCGGGTGGTCGATGCCTTCGATCGGATCCAGCCTCCACCTTGGGCTGCAGACGTGCAGGTGGTCGGTGCCCCAAGTTGGAGCGGCCTAGCCCCCGCGCTGCATGCGAGGCGGTGGCGCGCTGGTTATTCGGGGCTGGCGGTCCCTGGGGAGCCCGTGGAAGGGCAGACCCTAAAGGCAGGCAGCGGGTCTTGGATTGGAGCCGCAGACGAGTGGGTGGCCGATGCCTTCGATCAGACTCAGCCGCCGCCCTGGGCTGCTGACGTGCAGGCGGTCGAGGCCCCAGCGTGGGGCGGCCTTGCCCCCTCGCAGCAGTGGAGGCGGCGGCGCGCGGGAGGTTCGGGGCTGGTGGCCCCTGGGGGGCCCGCTGGAGGGCAGACCCTAAAGGACGGCAGCAGGTCTTGGATCGATGCCGCAGACGTGCGGGTGGCCGAAGCCTTCGATCAGACCCAGCCTCCTTCCTGGGCTGCAGACGCACAGATGGCCGGTGCCCCAGGTCGGAGCGGCCCTCCACCCACATCTCGGAGACTGGATTTCCAGCTGGTCAACTACAACAGCAGTTCGTGGTCGACGGCTCAGAATCGCATGGGATGGGCCTTGAACGTGAAAGATTTTGTGCTCGATGCCTTATTTAATCAAGAACATAGGCTGGAACTGGAACAGGTCAAAGCGGCTCGCAGTTGGGGTCACACAGCTGGATACATGTCATGGTTTGCGGAAGCGGCGCGAACGGGGGCGGGGCGCCGAGAGGCGTCTGGAAGGACGGCCATCGCAGGTAAGGCTCATTTTGGCAGCAACGGGCATGGGCAGAGCAGCTGGTCTGAGAGGCTCTGCATTGTCAAGGTCATGTTGCACCATTCCTTCCCGTCCATTCTTGGTTCAGTGCACGGCCGCGCCACGCTGGGGCCCTCAGGCGACAACCTTGCGTTTGTAGAGGAGCCCAGGGAAGCGGTGGCCTTGTTGGGCTGCTCGTTTGTTCTGGGAGCAGGCTGGAACATTGATGCGGAGCAGCTGACTACATCCCAATGTGCAGTTCTCCTTGGGGCGACAGTGGTCAGGCCCCCAGGAGAGACGAGCCACAGTAACGGGTGCGACTTTTTTGAGGTCGGCCGCGGTCTCGAATTTCATGGTAAAGAGTGAATTGAGCAGCCTAACACGCCAATTGGGCCTCATTCTGCAGTTTTGCTTCAATTCAAGCAGGTGGCTGGACAGGCCAATGCTTGGCCGCGAGTGGTGCCTCGTAGTTTCCCGTCGCCCAAGGATGAAGAGGAGAAGGCCCGCATGCAGTGGGGCCCCAGCCAGCAGTCGCCCCTATTTGACTGGGTTTCGCTATCGCCCCAAGCAGCGATGGAGCAGGTGTTCGACGCTGCCGAGTTGGCCCGCGGTCGCCTTCATGAGCTAGATGGCAAGCAGGTTTTTGGCGGAGCCGAGGGCTGCCAAATCCAGGCAGGGCCGCTAGAAGCAGCGTGGGGTCGGGAGCTGCACAGGCGCTCCCTTCCTGGGACCCAACGCTGGTGGTCTTTGAGGCGTTTGACCTTGGTGGATATGAAGGCGGCAACAGACGGCAGACGGCGGCGCCTGTTTGACTCGGCCAGGCCGCTGCAGGACCTGCTGGTGGAGGTTGAGGAAC